GCACAGCGGAGAAGGTACGGTGGGATTCGAAATGGTCGCTGATCTGTTTGTTAACTTGGCTTTCAAAAACGTTTGAAAGGCAGGGCAGGATGGATATGGGTCTGTAACAGTTTGGATCTAGAGTGTCACCCCCTTTGAAGAGGGGGATGACCGCGGCAGCTTTCCAATCTCTGGGGATCTCAGACGTTACGAAAGAGAGGTTGAACAGGCTAGTAATAGGGGTTGCGACAATTTCGGCAGCTAGTTTTAGAAAGAAAGGGTCCAGATTGTCTAGCCCAGAAGATTTGTAGGGGTCCAGATTTTGCAGCTCTTTCAGAACATCAGCTGTCTGGATTTGTGTGAAGGAGAAGCGGGGGGGGGGGGGGGCATGGGCAAGTTGCAGCGGAGGGTGCAGAGCTGGTGGCCGGGGTAATGGTAGCCAGGTGGAAAGCATGGCCAGCCGTAGCAAAATGCTTGTTGAAATTCTCGATTATTGTAGATTTATCGGTGGTGATAGTGTTTCCTAGCCTCAGTGCAGTGGGCAGCTGGGAGGACGTGCTCTTATTCTCCATGGACTTTACAGTGTCCCAAAACTTTTTGGAGTTAGTGCTACAGGATGCAAATTTCTGTTTGAAAAAGTTAGCCTTTGCTTTCCTAACTGCTGCTGTATATTGGTTCCTAACTTCCCTGAAAAGTTGCATATCGCGGGGGCTATTTGATGCTAATGCAGTAAGCCACAGGATGTTTTTGTGTGTGTCAAGGGCAGTCAAGTCTGAGGAGAACCAGGGGCTATATCTGTTCTTAGTTCTGTATTTTTTGAATGGGGCATGTTTATTTAAGATTGAGAGGAAATTACTTTTAAAGAACAACCAGGCATCCTCTACTGACGGAATGAGATCTATATCCATCCAGGATACCTGGGCCAGGTCAATTAGGAAGGCCTGCTCGCTGAAGTGTTTTTGGGAGCGTTTGACAGTGATGAGGGGTGGTCGTTTGACCGCGGACCCGTTACGGACGCAGGCAATAAGGCAGTGATCGCTGAGATCCTGGTTGAAGACAGCGGAGGTGTATTTAGAGGGTAGGTTAGTCAGGATGATATCTATGAGGGTACCCATGTTTACGGATTTAGGGTTGTACCTGGTAGGTTCGTTGATAATTTGTGTGAGATTGAGGGCATCTAGTTTAGATTGTAGGATGGCCGGGGTGTTAAGCATATCCCAATTTAGGTCACCAAGCAGTACGAACTCTGAGGATAGATGGGGGGCAATCAATTCACATATGGTGTCCAGGGCACAGCTGGGGGCTGAGGGTGGTCTGTAGCAAGCGGCAACAGTGAGAGATTTATTTCTGGAAAGGTGGATTTTTAGAAGTAGAAGCTCAAACTGTTTGGGCACAGACCTGGGTAGTATGATAGAGCTCTGCAGGCTAACTCCACCCCCTTTGGCAGTTCTATCTAGACGGAAAATGTTATAGTTGGGGATGGAAATTTCAGAATTTTCGGTGGCCTTCCTAAGCCAGGATTCAGACACTGCTAGAACATCAGGGTTGGCGGAGTGTGCTAACGCAGTGAATAACTCAAACTTAGGAAGGAGGCTTCTGATATTTACGTGCAGAAAACCAAGGCTTTTACGGTTACAGAAGTCAACAAATGATAGCTCCAGGGGAGTAGGAGTGATACTGGGGGCTGCAGGGCCTGGGTTAGCCTCTACATCACCAGAGGAACAGAGGAGGACTAGAATAAGGATACGACTAAAGGCTTTAAGAACTGGTCTTATAGTGCGTTGGGTACATAGAATAAAGGGGGCAGTTCTCCGGGCGTTGTAGAAAAGATTCAGGGCATTATGTACAGAAAAGGATATGGAAGGATATGAGTACAGTTGAGGTAAACCTAAGCGTTGGGTAACAATGAAAGAGATAGCATCACTGGAGGCACTGATTGAGCCGGTCTCGGCGTGTATGGGGGGTGGAACAAAGGAACTATTTGAGGCAGTTTGAGAGGGACTTGGGGTTCTACAGTGAAATTGTATAATAAGAACTAACTGGAACAGCAATAGGCAAGGCATATTGACATGGGAGAGAGGCATAAAGCAATCACAGGTGTTATTAGAGAGAGCTAAGACAACAACTGGTAATGGAGATAAAGTTTGGGCTGAGGCTAAACAGAATAAACAGGACAGGGTACCGTGTAAAGGAACAGTCCAGCAGGCATCAGCTGTGCAGCTGAGTGATCATAAGGTCCAGTAACAGCAATATGTGAGTCCGAGAGCAGTTCAAATTGGTGCTTCAGCACAGCTAGCAGGGAGCACAGTTGTAGTTTGCGTGTGCTAGCGGGCCGGGGCTAGCAGATGGATCTTCGTGGTCGTCGCAACGGGAAGCCTGTTGAAACCACATCAGACGATTTCGTCGGCAAACCAGTCGTGTTGGATCGGCGGGGCTCAGTGTCAACACTAGGAGGTCCCGTCCGGTTGACAGAGAGGTAGATAGCCGGGAGATGGGCCTGAGGCTAGCTCAAGGCTAACTGGTGCTTGCTATGGGGCAATGGTAATTAGCCAACAACAGGTTGCAGCTAGCTAGCTGGTTGCGATGATCCGGCGCTAGGGTCCAGTGATTCCGGCAGAAAGTCCGATAAGCTCTGGGTCGATAGCACGCTGTGCAGACTGGCCGACGAATTGTCCAGGCTAGAGTTAGAGCTGGCTGGTGGATAGTGTAGGCCACGGACAATGGTGAAGACGCTAACGGTGACTAATAGCAAGTGGCCATTCAGTTGCAGCTAAACTAGTTTCAGCTTAAGGTTCTTGATGAAAGTTATAAAGAAATAATAGAATCCTTTCCACGTTGGGTGAGGCGGGTTGCAGGAAAGTATATTTAGTTAAAGAATGAAAAGTAAAATTGAGAAATATATACAAAAGACAAAAAAAACTAGAAACGGGATATTTACACTAGGACAATGAATAAAACCACGACCACGCTGCTACGCCATCTTGGATCAAAAAAAAGTTCTTCCACACAGATCTCGACAAACCATTTCTGTATGGACCTCACTTTGTGCACGGGGGCATTGTCATGCTGAAACAGGAAAGGTCCTTCCCCAAACTGTTGCCACAATGTTGGAAGCACAGAATCGTTTAGAATGTCATTGCATGCTGTAGTGTTAAGATTTCCCTTCACTGGAACTAAGGGGCCTAACCCGAACCATGAAAAACAGCCCCGTTCTCCTGGCATCCGTCAAACCCAGATTCGTCCGTCAGACGGTGAAGAGTGATTCATCATTCCAGAGAATGTGTTTCCACTGCTCCAAAGTCCAATGGGGGCAAGCTTTACACCACTCCAGCCAACGCTTGGCATTGCGTACAGTGATCTTAGGCTTGTGTGCTGCTGCTCGGCCTTAGAAACCCATTTCATGAAGCTCCCGATGAACAGTTCTTGTGCTGACGTTGCTTCCAGAGGCAGTTTGGAACTCGGTAGTGAGTGTTGCAACCGAGGACAGACTATTTTTACTCGCTACGCGTTTCAGCAGTCTGCAATCCCATTCTGTGAGCTTGTGTGGCCTACGACTTCTCGGCTGAGCCCCGTTACTGCTCCTAGACGTTTCCACTTCACAACATCAGCATGTAGTTGACTGAGGCAGCTGTAGCAGGGCAGAATTTTGACTTGTTGGAAAGGTGGCATCCTATGACGGTGCCATGTTGAAAGTCACTGAGCTCTTCAGTAAGGCCATTCTACTGCCAATGTGTGTCTATGGAGATTGCATGGCTGTGTGCTTGATTTTACGCCTGTCAGAGAAGGGGTGTGGCCGAAATAGCCGAATTCACTAATTTTAAGGGGTGTCCACATACTGCTACACTATATATACACACACACACGGCCAAATTCAATGTTATCAAATCACTGTTTTTGATACCTAAAGGGGTCCTAAAATTCAAAATCACATAGCTAAATGATCCTTGGTATGACCATCTTAAAACAATTCCATATGGTAGTTTAGTGGAACCCGCTATCATGACTGCACCGAATCAACTGATTAAGTCTTCCCTTCAGTGAGATATCCCAACTGGGGTCTCAGCATTCACTCGCTTTGTATCACAGTCAGCCAGTCTTTCTCCATCTTTGGCACTAACTAATCTGGACAAGGAAGCTCCACTTCAAGAACCTGTCAGATACCAGTTTCACATTTATCTCCCATGATCATCATATGGTTGACCGGTGTGAACTCAAATACATGTTTACCTTCACAGTACCCCATCCCGACACACTAGTCTGGGAGCACAGAGTAAGCCTCAGAACATTACCCAGGTAGCAGTTTAAGGGTTTATACAGTATGCCTTACTTGAAGGGCCACTATGGCATTAAGGCAGGGGTGTGAAACGCAGTTGTAAGGCGTGAGTCTGCTGGTTTTTGTCATTTCCTTTCAATTAGTATCCAATAAAGACCTATATAACCAGGTGAGGAAAGTGCCTAACTGATCCCCAGATTTTTATACTTTCGCTTACTCCATTGTCAAGCAAAACAGGTTTGGCAATGACACAGAGTACAAGGATATGTTGTCAGTCTTGACAGGTTCACTTTTTGTACATTGGGGCACTCATGTTGGGTCATGGTCTTTGCCGTCGCCCTAGAACGGGGTATTTCTTTGTTTATTTAGTTGCATTGCAGTACGTCATCTTGATATCACAATAGCATTTAGGAACACCAAACCATGAATGACAAGGCCAAAGGAAATAACTTGCATTGTCATTTATTGTGGTTTAACATATTCTTTCCACAGCATGAAACATACAATTCCAGCGCCATCCACACATTGATTTGCAGTACAGCAGTGACAGAAACCCCAAACAAAATGGATTGTGACCTTACCGGAGTCTATTGACCCAAGTCTAGAAAATGTGAACAGATGCCCACAGGTCAAATGCATTAACATGATGCTGTGTGTTAGACCAATATTATATTAATAAAAAACAGACACCACTACATTTCAGAAGGATACTTATATCTGAGACGACTGATTCCCAACACAAACCACATCAATATTGTTCATAGGGTGTGACAGTACACTTATGGTCAAAAACACCGGTTTTCTTGGCAGGCCTCTTCCTCCTTTGACCATTGGTCTGGGCTCTTGGCGTAATGGGGGGCGTCCGAGGGTACCAGGGCCCCACCAGCCAATTGAGGGGCATGTTGTGGACCAGGTAGTCCAGGATGGCATCCAGAGAACCGCTCACTATGCCCTGAGGTCTGATGCCCGGGTGGGGGTCAGCGGAACTAAAGTTGTGTAAGATCTGTGAGGCAGAAAGCAGCACACACACAGCCTGCTGCTGGAGGTGGCGGGGGAGACTTTGGAGGCTGCAGGCCAGGCTCAGACAGCTGCTCTGCAGCTGGTGACTCACACTGGGAGAGACTTCCAGGCTGTGGATAACCACCCGCTGGAGAAACAGAGGTTATGTACTGCTTTATGTGGTACTGAGCTGAACCATGCAAGCGAACGTGTCAAGTGAATATAGCCAACGCTTGGTCTGGGAAACTGTCAACAGCATGGTTGAGTGCAATTCTGTTTTGTTTAACATTGCAGTACCGGAATTGACATGTTTTCAGTAAGGATTTTTCAATTAGCCACTTGAATAGATAATGAATATGATCCAATTTCTAGGGAAGGAACATTTGAGAACCCCTAGAGCAAACTTGTAAAAGTAATAATCACAGCTTTTAAGACTCATGTCCACCAACACAGTACATTAGTAAATAGATTTTATAATACCGCGGTCTCCTTGTCTTCCTTCTCTTGAACATTACTAGTCCATTCCACCAAGGCGCCAAGATTGTCCTGCACACATCAATTCCATCAGAAGCATAATGGTCAGTTTACAATCAAAGTACAGTGTTTCAATTTCAAGAATACGATAATTGGAGGACAACTATACTGAAGAAAAATTAACGCAGCATGCAACAAATTGCAAAGATTTACTGTTAGTTCATATAAAAAGAAATCAGTCAATTTATATAAATTAATTATGCCCTAATCCATGGATTTCAAATGACTACAGATATGCATCTGTTGGTCACAGATATCTTAAAAAGGTAAAGGGGGTGGATCAGAAAACCATAAGTATCTCGAGACCACCATTTGCCTTACGCAGCGCAACACGTCTCCGTCACAAAGTTGATCAGGTGGTTTGTGACCTGTGAAATGTTGTCCCACTCCTCTTCAATGGCTGTGCGAAGTTGCTGGATATTGGAGGGAACTGGAACACGCTGTCATACACGTTGATCCAGAGCATCCCAAACATGCTCAATGGGTGACATGTCTGGTGAGTATGCAGGCCATGGAAGAACTGACATTTTCAGCTTCCAGGAATTGTGTACAGACCCTTGCGACATGGGGCCGTGCATTATCATGCTGAAACATGAGGTGATGGTGGCGGATGAATGGCAGAACAATGGGCCTCAGGATCTCGTCTGTGCATTCAAATTGCCATCGATAAAATGTAATTGTGTTCGTTTTCTGTAGCTTATGCCTGCTCATACCATAACCCCACCATGGGGCGCACTGTTCACAACATTGACATCAGCAAATTGAATCAAGCCAGGACCCCAAACTGACCTGAAACTAATAGGCTACCAAAACCCATCAGTGGGTGGGTCCCTCTCCCAAATGGACTTCTAGAAAAACACTGGTTTAAGCATCTACCAGGCTTACCAAGTTCATGGTGTACTGAAGCAAGTTGAGGGATTTCTGACCACAGACTTTGACAGAGCGCACCTTCTCCTCTGCCTGGTGGTATGCTCGTCTACACAGCTTGACAGTGAGGGAAACCAGTCGGACAGGAGAGCTGAGCCTGGCGGCGGCAACATCAAAGCCCTTCACAGTCTTTACCTCGTCTTCTAAAGACAGACCGACAAGTCGGTGTGATGAGGGATGGAAGGTTACAGAAGAACACATCAGCTTTCAGTTGCCCTTTATGTCTGTCAGTATAAGTTACCAGAGGCCTTGGAAAACCATAGTTTAAGGTGCAAAACATTGTGGATTACACTTTGATATGCATGTGTAAATAGCCCCTCACTTTTACATCATGTTGCAGAGCGTTTGGAGTAAAGTGTGTCCGTTGCGAAATATTTTGTGTTTTGCTATGGTGTGCCACTAATGAACACACCCAAGCATTAGCCCCACTCACCCATCTCTTCATAGGTCGGAGGAAGGGCTTGGTCCACCAGGGTTTCTGACAGGCTCAGTGCAGATTCCAGTCCCACGCTAACCAGCTGGACCGCATGCTCCAGGGACACCACGTTGACTCTGCCACCACTTGCGCCTTTTGTCATCGCAACCATTCCAGTCATGGTGTAATACATGCAGTTCTTTGCGCCGCGGACAGCAACAGCTACAGCATCTTTGGCCTCCATCATTATATTCTTCACATCTGAAACAATCTTGGTGATAATGAGAATTGAGCACAAAGACAGTTCTTACAGTAATGTTAAATATATTTAACACAAAAAGACAGCAAATAAAAGGATTGGGACATAGAGATTGAGTTCACCTGCTGTGAAGGCTGTTGAAGCACTGGCAACGTACTCTCAAGCTTATCTAGGCCTTTACATGCAAGATCATTCACAATGGAAACTGTGGGAGCACAGCAGAGGGGTTGGATTTGGTGTGAGACAGAATTGTCACAATTCAAGCCCTGGTTTGGACCAAAGTGATTCTGTAAGTGTGGAAACAGTGGAAAGAAGGTGACAGAGCATCAATGTACTTACTTTGGGGCTCCAGCTTAATGATGATGGGGGTGGCACTGTTACAGGCTACAGAGGTTAAGGTCATCACACTAATCTCCACCACCTTACACAACGATCTGATGTAGGGGTGGTTGCTCTTGGTGTCACAATACAAGACAGATACGAGTGCACACGCTGAGCTAACCATGGGGAGGTTAGCCAAACGAAAGATCACATTCTGTCAAGAAACATAGCAAACTGTGACCACAAGTCATGACTAATAAAAATACCTATGACCAATCAAAGGCCTACAACCAATGCAAAACACTTTCACTGGGTATGGCTACTTTAGGTCATCAGTGCTCTCACGAACACTAAGCAAGCAGTTAATATAGCTAGAACATGGTTGAGTAGTAGGAATACAAAACATAGGGAACGTGCTGTGTAGGCTTAGTGGCTGTCTGGCAAGAATTTCAATTGAACCAACCGGACTCGAGTTATGATTCCCAGGCATCATACTTCGCCCTATTAATTAAAGATAGATTAGGGTTATTTAACTGTTAATTGATATTTTACAAATCCATTTAATTTCAGAGTTGCATGAGAAAGGAGATGGTTCAAAGTATAAACGCTTTTCATGTGCCCCCTGAGCAAAATTACTAATTACTAATAACTTGCTTTAGAAATTGTTGCTTTGTCCATTCACCTGCCAAACATTTACCTGCCTGTTCTTTGTAAAACCACATTCTTTCTTGCGATGTCCCTTGCACCATGGCGTAATGACGATAGGGCATAGGAGAATTGGACAGCAACAATAATATGTCAGGCTAATAGCAAACAAAACGCACACAGGCTGGATCTCTATGGTACAAAGTGGTGTCCTTTCCTTTACCTTATCGGTCCTATGAATTAAATGCGACAGCTGAAACCCAATTCCTGATATATATTCATTAGGCTATTGCTTTCACCTGTTGTTTCCCCCCCTAATTAGTGACTATGAATCAGCGTAGACGAGGAAAGGAAGAAGATGGATGAGATGCGCGCGCATGCACACACGCGCACACACACACACACACACACACAGACGCGATGTCAATCACACTTTGAAGGATTACTGTGTGTGTGTGTTACTATGTGTGTGTTTGTTTTTTGCTTGCCACTTAAATTATATCATACGTAGGCTTAGACTAATCATTTTAAGTTCATATTTTATGAATGTCTCATTTCACCTGTCTCCATGTGAAAAATTACAAGGTAGCCTAGTCCTATCGCCAACGGGGATATGCAGGAGCTGTACATGGTGCTGATCACGGGAAAGACGTCCGCATTCTTCGTGTCCATAGCCTGTCTGTCCTCTATTTCTTACTCAGAGGATCGAAGGCTTTCAGATAGACAATAAAAGCCTGTATAAAAAGTAATAGCTAGTGTAATGTAAGAAACCTTGAAAACGTTTAAACTTTTGGGAGTTGTATTTATTTATGTGAGACCACGTCATAAGTCGCGCTATAAACTGCCATCCGTTTATTACATCATCAGCGCTTCCTGGTCTTAAACACACAAATTGCCTAAAACTAAAATTACGCTATAGGCTAGAGAAGAAATGTGGGCTAACTTATTATTTGCAGGCTATTTGCTTAGGAAATAGTATCTAATTCCATACTTTAGAACTTCCTAGGTGATATAAATGCCCACCTGACCTACCCCCTCCAATGTTGTTGAGGTGCTTATGCCAGATCTGAACCTGCGGGTAAGTATTTTTTCAAGTAGCCTTGTGCCGAGAAAGTGAACGAGATAGGCTATGCATGGTAGGCTAACTATCAAAGAAGATCACTTTGGCAAATTACAATTCTGTGTTGTGGGACAAATTATTTTTCTACTATGGTCATGCCGGTAAATGTACATTTACATCAATACAAATGAATTTTCTAAATGTATCTTTGCATCATCTCTTAGGAGTGACATCACTTCCTAACACAGCCTAACCACGGCTACATCAGATAATGGTTTATGCAATCGCAGTCTATAATTAGAATTTTGTAGTTCATGTTATTGTTCATGTTCTTTGGTTATTAGGTTTACCCATTCAATTGTTATTTTCATATTTATTCATGTTCTTGTCAAGTTGCAAAGATTAAACAACTATTTTTTGTGAGCACAGAGTACGGTGACAAGTTCCACTCTAAAAGAACTGTGGCTCCTCGGGTGTCCAAAAAAGTACAAGCTATTGGAGGGTCACATGTCCAATACCACCACCTTCAGGTTCGTTTCAGTCAATTAATTAGGTCTACACAGTAGAAGGCCTTCTACGGTAACACAATATAGGATACAGACATGCAGTTGACATGCAGTTAATATATGATAGCTTAATAGATAGGCTTGGGATAATGCTACCGAAACAAAATAAACAATAACGTGTTTTCTTAACAAACTATGGCACCTATAAAGTGTTCATATTGTAGAGTCCCTTGCCATATGGAGCCATGCCAAACCCACTTATATGGAAGGCACTATACACAATTGGCACAAGGAGTGTACAAGCCTTATAAGTTAGGGTCCCTGGAATGAGCCCCACTGCCCCAATCCCTTGAAGTGTTACTTACATTGGTGTTAGAAGTGGTTTGTGTGCTTTCTTGCAGGAGGGGTATGGTGTGGCATCCATGCTGTATGTAGGCATAAGCACACCAGAATTTCTGCCAAGGTTTTTAATCTTATTGGTGCTTTGGTGGTATGCTCACTCTGTGTAGTGTAAAGGGTTCTTGACTTTTTCCTGCTATCCATTGAATGTGCTGTGTTCTCACTGTGTTCTCATATACAGTAATCCCACTGTGTTCTCATGGGCAGCGCACAATTGGCCTAGCGTTGTCCAGGGTAGGGGAGGGAATGGCCGGCAGGGATGTAGCTCAGTTGATAGAGCATGGTGTTTGCAACGCCAGGGTTGTGGGTTCATTTCCCACGGGGGACCAGTATGAAAAAAAATATATATATATGTATTCACTAACTGTAAGTCGCTCTGGATAAGAGCGTCTGCTAAATGACTAAAATGTAATGTAAATGTAATTGACTGTGTTCATCATGTATTTTGATTTACCTCTCCGAGAGACTAATCTATGGAGAACACAGAACAGTGTGAATGGCCTTGGCTGCAATCATCCAGAGTCTGAGTGACTGTTTTATGTAATCTTTTTAAAAATTAAACCTTGTGTTAGTTTCTGCCTCATGTTAGTTTCATTGAGATAGAAATCTCTTCTGCATGACAGATCTGGTACAAGATAGCAGCATGGTCGGCAATATTCCAAATAAATTGAACACATTAGAACACATTACATTACATAACATGAACAGTAAATATGTAAAGAAAATTCTTAGAATTATTCTTAGCTGGTACAGTATGTAAATTGTCTGACAATTTAACTGATCACAAGTGGCTGGATTCCATAGTAATTTGATTTCTGCATCTACAAAATGTGTGACAATGGATTCCATAGTCATTTGATATCAGCATTAATGTGTTGGATTTTTAAAAACCTAAGCTGTGTCTTCCATTCTGTGAATGGAGGGTATTAGAATGTACACTACATGGCAAAAAGTATGTGGACACCCCTTCAAATTAGTGGATTTGGCTATTTCAGCCACACCCGTTGCTGACAGGTATATAAAATCGAGCACACAGCCATGCAATCTCCATAGACAAACATTGGCAGTAGAATGGCCCATACTGAAGAGCTCAGTGACCTTCAACGTGGCACCGTCATAGGATGCCACCTTTCCAACAAGTCAGTTCGTCAAATGTCTGCCCTGCTAGAGCTGCCCCAGTCAACTGTAAGTGCTGTTATTGTGAAGTGTAAAGATCTAAGAGAAACAACGGCTCAGCCGCGAAGTGGTAGGCCACACAAGCTCACAGAATGGGACCTCGGAGTGCTGAAGCGCGTCTGTCTTAGGTTGCAAAACTTACTACCGAGTTCCAAACTGCCTCTGGAAGCAACGTCAGCACAATAACTGTTCGTCGGGAGCTTCATTTGTATTTGTATTTATTAAGGATCCCCATTAGCTGCAGCCATTATTTGAGGTTTAGGGTTTAGTGAATGATTTGTCCCAAATACAATGCTTTTAGTTTAGAAATATTTAGGACTAACTTATTCCTTACCACCCATTCTGAAACTAACTGCAGCTCTTTGTTAAGTGTTGCAGTGATTTCACTCACTGTAGTAGCTGATGTGTATAGTGTTGAATCATCCGGATTCATAGACACACTGGCTTTACTCAAGGCCAGTGGCATGTCATTAGTAAAGATTGATAAAAGGCCTAGACAGCTGCCCTGGGGGAATTCCTGATTCTACCTGGAGGATGTTGGAGAACACCTCTTTGTTCTGTTAGACAGGTAACTCTCTATCCACAATATACAGTGAGGGAAAAAAGTATTTATTAAAAGTATTATTTGATCCCCTGCTGATTTTGTACGTTTGCCCACTGACAACATTGTATTTGAACAGTGAGAGACAGAATAACAACAAAAAGTCATTAAGGTTTCGAGGCTGACGTTTGGCAACTCGAACCTTCAGCTCCCTCCACAGATTTTCTATGGGATTAAGGTCTGGAGACTGGCTAGGCCACTCCAGGACCTTAATGTGCTTCTTCTTGAGCCACTCCTTTGTTGCCTTGGCCGTGTGTTTTGGGTCATTGTCATGCTGGAATACCCATCCACGACCCATTTTCAATGCCCTGGTTGAGAGAAGGAGGTTCTCACCCAAGATTTGACGTTACATGGCCCCATCCATCGTCCCTTTGATGCGGTGAAGTTGTCCTGTCCCCTTAGCAGAAAAACACCCCCAAAGCATAATGTTTCCACCTCCATGTTTGACGGTGGGGATGGTGTTCTTGGGGTAATAGGCAGCATTCCTCCTCCTCCAAACACGGCGAGTTGAGTTGATGCCAAAGAGCTCGATTTTGGTCTCATCTGACCACAACACTTTCACCCAGTTCTCCTCTGAATCATGTGTTCATGTGTTCAATCAATGTTCATTGGCAAACTTCAGACGGCCCTGTATATGTGCTTTCTTGAGCAGGGGGACCTTGCGGGTGCTGCAGGATTTCAGTCCTTCACGGCGTAGTGTGTTACCAATTGTTTTCTTGGTGACTATGGTCCCAGCTGCCTTGACATCATTGACAAGATCCTCCCGTGTAGTTCTGGGCTGATTCCTCACTGTTCTC